AAAACCGAAAAACCCAAAAATTTTAAAACCTTCATATTTCTATCTTAATAATTTAAATAGACTAAAATGTCTAAATAAATTATTTTACTCAAATGATTAAATTAGACACTCATGTCAAATTAATCATAAACTTATCAAACAATTCGAAATAATTAATCCCTATAATAAAATCCATTTCTAAAAATAAACGGACCGGAATTAATTAATGAACTGGCTCAATTACTATATAAAATTTAACCGAGAATACTTTCAACTTAAATTCAAACTTATAACTTATAACTTAATAACTGGACTCTCAACTAGAAACGAGCATTATTAATAAAAGTAATTTAGTTCAAACTCGAAACTAAAATAATTATTTTTATTAATTACTGAATGGGATATTACACGCCGTAATCACCAAGGCATCATTATGAGGTATTACAACCCCCTCTACATCTTCTGCCCGAAAACTGATTTCTGGCACTCGGGCCGTGATACCCACCTCCTCTCTCTTCCTCTTCATCGCCCGAACCTGGCCCCTCCTAGCATTATTCGAGTCTCCGTCTGTCGGTCCTCCTGAAATCATATATATCGTGCCCCTCTTCACTTGGCCTACATTTCCTTCTCTTTCTCGCTCCCTACTTCCTCGTCCCACAAACGGCGCCAAATGGTAACACAAAACTTCCTGACCGGCTGGAACTTGAATAATCGCCTTCCTTTTCCCCTCATCCTTTTTCGACCATCTCGTGCCTCTCCATCATCATCTTCCTCGCTCTTCTCCATCGAGTCCTCCCGACACCTTCTCTTCTCCTTCCTCCTCACCTTATCCTGATAAACAAACTCCTTGAGATGCCCTGCCCGAATGAGGCTCTCAATTTCGTCCTTGAGATGTCGACAGTCTTTAGTAGTATGGCCATAGTCTTTGTGGAAGCGACAATATCTCCTCGACTTCGGTTGGGTTGGCCCTTCGAACCTCGACCTCGGCCACGTTACATCTTTCCCGTCTATCCCTTTCTCCATCGCCATCAAGACCTCGGCCACCTTCGCGTTCAACGGGGTATAATCATGGAATCTTTTCCCTCCAGAGATAGGCCTGTCCTTCCATCTGTCCTCTCGTCCTCGATCCTGCTTAGTTCGCCCCTCTCTCCTGGGCGAGGCTCTCCTCTTAGGCAAAACTGCTTTCTCCTTCCTCGACTCCCCTCGACCCAACTCCTCCAGCTTGGCAAACTCTGCCTCAGTCTCCTCGAGATTAATGCATTTCCTACACCTCCTCAACACCTCATCATACGTACGAGCAGGGGTCTTAGCCAGGGAAGTCCGGCATGGTCCTTCCCGCAAACTCCTAATCAATCCTCCCGCCTTGACTTCATCGACCGCCGACGGAATCTCCAAGCAAGCCTGGTTATATCGAGCTACGTATTTGCGCAATGACTCCTTCTCGCCTTGTCTCATCGCCATTAGTGTCAAATACGTTTTCTCCTGAGCCACCGCGCTCGAATATTGATTTGTCAACTTCTCCAAAAAATCCTCGAAGTCCACAATCAAGCCTAGGGGGAGCTGTTGGAACCAGTCGAGCGCCCCTTCCCTAAGGGTCGATAAAAAGGCCCTACAACTAACGGGATCAGTATATCCATGCAACACAGCCATATTTTCAAATGTCCTCACATGTCTCGACGGATCAGAAGTCCCATCGAACACCAAGTTGGTATCCTTGTAATTATTTGGCAAGAGTGCTGCTAGTATGTCCGCCGAGAACGGGTGTCCTCGAGCGCGTCTCTCCACTCGACCATCCACCTTAGCCTGCAATTGGCGCAGTTGTTCCCCATCCTCTCCATCTCCCAGTCATGTGTGGGCCCGCCTCCACCATAGCTGGATTCATCCTCCTCTGCATTTTGGTGTGACCCTGCAACAGTGTTCAGCATTGCTGTAGCTCGAGAGAGACTGTTTGTTACTTGCTGAACC